AAGATATTTTTTATTTCTCTTCTTTCTCTTAGAAAGAGTTTGTATTATTAAAAAAATATAATATTTAATATTAATACTTAAATTGTTCACGACTGTAAACAATTTAAGAGAAGACCCAACATGGAGATCGTTAAAAAGAATATCAGGATGTTTACACTTTTTAGAAAAATTTAGATTTCTTAGAGGTTTCTTTTTATCTAAAAACTCAGGGAATTTTCATAAAATTTTATTGAGACTTGGAAATTTTTTTAAATTCTTTTTTTGATAATTGGATATTACAAATAATTGACATTCTTCAGTTGTAATTTTTAATGATAAGAAAATAAAAATGTTATGCAAGTGAAAAAATGTATCTTAAATAATTAATCGAAAATTAGAAAGAAAATATTTTAAAAAATTGCATTAGAAAATTTTCTAAGTTTGCTTGAAATTCGAACAAAATAATACCTGCAAGTTCGAGGAATTTTTCTTCGCACAAAATTAAAAAATGATGCACCGATTTTTAATTCCATTTTCCTTCCAATATATATTGCACAAAAAAAAACATAATATAAGTACATATTAATACATTTAAAGCATCAACAAAATATATATAATATCGAGAATAATTTTATTAGCGACGCGATAATCTTCTTCTTCAAGGCCAGTGAAGGGGAAAGTTTATAGGGACTAGTTCCATAAACGAGATTCCACGAGCTGTAAATTGGTGCGAAAAAAGCACACGCACCTCTCTCGAAAGCAGCCGTTTTACCTCTTTTTTTTCTCTCGCGAGCTAAAACATCCTTGGCTTTCAAAGCCACCTTCTCCCTCCCGTTCCGCCATCATTTCCTCCCTCTCTTACATCGTAGCTTTAATTATCGCCTCAAAGGGCCCCGCCCCTTTGCTTTATTTATCCATCGATGACGTTCCCTTATCCTCCGCGCCGTCAAAGAAATTCTTATGGACGTTAATTAACCTCCGAACGCAAAAAAAAACGGGTGCAAAAACGAACAGAAGCGCCCATATTCATTGCGATAATGAGGGAGGAAACTATTCTTTGTTCCCCTTTCATCGTATGACCCACCGTATTTCGCTCCCGACAAAGTAATAGTATCTTTATAGCTTCCATTTTAGGAAATATATATATGTATATCCCTAAAATGGAAGCTATAGTCCTAGTTTTTTGTTCCTATATATCCCTATATATGTAATCATATATACATTAGGTTAGGTTAGATTAGGTTAGGTTAGGTTAAGTTAGTATATATAATAATTTCTAAAATAGAAGCTATGAAGCTATAGCCCTGTATATATAATATTTATATATATGTGTATGATTGTCATATAATAATTTATACATATATTTCAAATTAATTAATAAAAATATAATTTATAAAAATATAATATACGTACAAAAATAAATTAGGAAAATGTAACATATTTATTCCTCTTATTCCTATTCAAATTATGTAATATCATGAAAAACATGAAAAATGTAAAAGAAATAATATTATATATAATTATATATAATAATAATAATAATAATTTATATTTTATTTAATTTATAAAATTAATAAAAATATTATTTATGAAAAAATATATATAGGTATGTATGTATAAATAGAAATTTTGGAATATAGTATATACATACAAAGTTATTACATTTTCTTAAAATACTAAGTTTTTTTAACTAAAAGCATAAAAAATATATAAGAGAAATAATGAAAAAATATTTCTTTTTAAACCATGTGATTTATAACTTTATAAAAAATAACGGAAAATATATAACTTAATCTGTTTTCTTTCTTTTTCTCAGAGAAGAAAGAAGCAAAAGACCAGTAATTACAGTCTACTCATCATTAATCAATTTAGAACACATATTATGAATCTGAGAAAATACGGGTTTACGTAACGCGAATAAAGGAAAGTTACAATACGTTGAAAAGTTGGTTAGAAAGGATAGAAAGATGCGCAGGTGGAAAGTAAAAGAAAATTTATATTATGACGGAAATCAGTACGCAATAAAGCGTTAACAACGAATTACGAGCTGCAATAGAGCCCCGATGATCTCGACCCGTGAATTATCTGCCGCTTTGCCGAGACATAAATTCCGATTTGCAGCTGACATTCGGTTCGAGCCAGTTCGAACTCACGCGCTTATACATTTTTCTTTTTTTTTTTATCAAAACTTCAATAATGGCGAAATGGACCAGCCATTTTGCACGTTCAACTTTAAGAGACGCGATAAAAATGGGTGGAAAAGAAAGAGATATAGTTTTGTTCAATTTTTCAATTTTTTACTCAAATTAATTTATTTCTTCCATTAAGCAAAAAATTTCAAATTCCAAATAGCACATACTTTTAAAAATTTCACAATTTGTTTTTTATTTTTGTATGTAAATATATTTACATTTTATCTATATTGATATTAAATTAAATATTCTTTAAAAGTTCACTAAAAATATAATATTGTGCAAATATTTTATATTATAGAGAAGGCTTGAGATGTTATCATCTCAAGACTTCTCTATAATATAAAATATAATATACAAATATAAAATATAGAATAAAATTCTATAACATAAAATATAAAATATTGAATTGAATAAAGATAAATAGTTTTATGCTAAATTGAGTAATTAATTTTCGTTTGCGGTTGTTTGTTCTTTAACTATGTTATGACAATGTGTTTTAACCGCGAAACATAAACGTGCTGTGTTGTAGCACATACATATATGCATATATGTTGTTTAAAATGTATAGAAAATCAAGCTGAACAATGTTTTTTTAACTTCTAGCATTAAAATCAATAATTTCAGTGTCATAAAAATGCCATTTTTTATTTTTTGTAAAGGTATAGTATTTTTACGTATCTACAATATCTCTTATTTTGCATTACTTTTGTGTTTATCAAAATGTTTGCTTCTATTTTTATTTTACTCTTGTTTGTTGGCTCGGTAATTGTCATTATTTTTGTTTTGCTCAGAAATAATTTGTAATGTACTCCATGTAAAATAATACCGACTTTATATCACTGATCCGCAACTAGACTCGGAACTAGATATGGGTCATTAGTTGTAATTTTGGTATTTACATTGCAATATGCAAGAGCGTAAATTATTTTTACTATCCTCACTGGAGATATATGATCGATAACTCTTTCAAAAAAATCAGAACACATTATAATAAAAATTTTAGAACCTTTTTTGTGTATATTGTATTTATATAATTATTGTTTTTATATATATTTTTAGTTTATTTTACATATTTATTATTGTTTTATATTTTTAATTATTTTTTATTTTTAATTAAGCAAAATCTATCCGGGATATACCTCCGATATAAATGCATTAAATAAATAAATATATAAATAGATAAATATATCTCCGATTTAATATCCGGAATTCAGATGTGGATCATTGATATATTTTAATTAAGTAAAATTAAAAAATATAAAACAGTATAATTATACATAGGATATACACAAAAAAACATTTCTAAAGTATTCATTACGACTGATTATATTTGTTAAATATTTATTTATCATAAATTAGATATCTTTCTAGATAAAAAATATTAAATTTTATTTCCTTGTTTCTTTCTATCGCGATTACTTTTTTGAATATGATTTTTTTCCTTATACATAATCGTGTACACGTCTTTTCGTATTTTAATTATAAATGCGTTTCACGTAGTAAGAGGTAGAGGAGGAACGATTTTTTTACATTTTACGAATCAAACCTTTCCTTCAAGATATTTCCATGCGATTTACATTGTACGCAATTTCCAATTCTCCGATTTATCTCGCATCTACGGAAATACGTATTTCCGTAGATTTCGTTAGATTCGCAATGTCGGCATGACTGCACAAATATCCGGGGCACATCGACAAACTCTTTCGCGAGACATGGGATGTATACATATATTTCGTGCGTACAATTTCCTCGTTCGTATTTCACAAGATTTCTTAAATTCGTCGCATATTTTTCGAGCATATTTTCGAGCCGGGCGTAAAAGAAGGGGAAATCCTAATACGAGATTGTAAACATTGAGGTCAAAACATCACGAAGCATTCAGGGTCTAATGAATGTGGGATCTAAATAATCGTGCAATAACAATTGTCGCCACGACTCATATGTATGTGCATATATATATATATATATATATATATATGGTGCGATTCAGGAAGAACAAAATACAAAATACTGCGATATTTACGAGACGGTAGAAAATAAGCGTCGCTCATCAGGTTTTTGTGTGACTTTGAAGACGTAGAAAATATGAGGTGTTTATTTGTTACGTAATTTAACGTGGACATTTTGCGCGTCCACTGGAATTGTTTAAAAAAAATGTTCGCTTAAATTTTTCACTCAAGATATTTTTGATAATTAAATTATTTATTTATATGCATAATTCGTATATAAGTAAAACGATCAAATATTGCAAAAATTTTAATTTTATATCAACAGTAATATATTTGTTATTTCACCAATATATATTGTAAGTTTATTGCAAATTTTTTTATTCTCACATTCACACAATTGTTGACAATAAACAAATATAATATTAAATTTTATGTTTATGTGTCGTGCAAATAATTAAAAAAAAAAAAAAGCATTTTTTAAATAAATTTTTAAAACTTTGAATTAAAAGTTTATATTATTAATAAGTAATAAATATAAAATTGTCTTTCTCTCTTCATGTGTTCAATTAAAAAAGAGAAAACACTTTTCGTCCTCAAGGGTACATTTTACAACCATTTAAAATCGAAACAATTCAATAATCTCGACGCACAAACCGAGCTTCTTTACTCCGTTAATTTGAGATACAAATCGACGAAGGAGAGAACTACAACAATCCTTAACTCCAATTTCTCAATCGTCTCAGGCTCTCCATCTATCACGTAAATTACTTTTAAAGCCCCATTACCGGACTAATCCCACATTCGAGAATGTTTATGTATAATTGAGTCCCGATTGACTGTAATCCCTCTCCCTCCAGCGATTACACGAGGGGCTCACCTGAGATCCCCGTCGGGGGAAGTCCGGATCACGAGGAGGGTTGGTAGGCGCTCCGGAAAAGTGACAGCGCGAGGCACACGAACAACTTCGAAACGACACGCTCGGCTCGACGCACGCGAGAGCACTGGCGCGACGCGGGACGAGAACCGCCGAGTGCGGCCGGCCGGCCTCGGCGCAGCCCGACCGGCGCACGAGATATCGAATCCTGTATGTACGCTCTGAACGTCGCGCCTTAACCTGTTTTAAATACCGTGAACACATGTCATAACGGTATATGTACGAAGAATCTCTATCTCGCCGTAAAAAATGTGTATGCGACACATGTATCGCACAATTTTCATTTCCATAAATACAGATATATAATTTATAAATGATGTACAAATGTATAATTTCATAAATACAGATACTCAATTCAATATAGAAAAAAATATCCGTCATTAAATAAAATTACGCTTGCTATCTGGAGTGTAAAAACAAGATTATTATTTTCTAATATTTTTTATATTTGTCAAATACGATATCTATATCTTTATTCTAAATATTTTTTGTGTTAAATACGATTTTGATTTTTAAAATTGCATCATAACCTCATCAAATTTTGAGAAAATTTCAATTAAAATTACATAAAAAATTATTTTAATATATGTCATATATTATAAGTATGAAATATTCAACAAATTTTATTGCGATCAAAATTGAATATATTGTTAGAATATTGAATCTATATTCTTAACATTGTACCTTAACTTGTTTTAAATACCATGAACATATATGTGATAACAAATTGACGTCATTAAATGTCAAATGACGTACGCATTGCTATCTGGGACATAAAAATAAGATTACAAAGGTACTTTCTATTATTTTTTATGTTAAATATGATTTCTAGGTTTCTAGAATTTTTTTACATTAAATTAATAATTTTTTATGTTAAATATGATTCTGATTTTCATAATTGTAATATTGTAATAAACTTTACAATTTTGCGAAATTTGCAATTAAAATTATAAATAACTGTTTTAATATAATTTGTCACGTTATGACGTAGACAAATTTTATTGCAATCAAAATTGAATATAATGTGTTAGAATATTGAGTCTATATTTTTAACGTTGTACCTTAATCTGTTTTAAATATTAACACACGTCATAGAATCAACAATATATAATTATACAATTCGATAAAAGAAATGATATGCAAAAACAAGACTTTTATATATAATATATATAGTTACTATCTAACATTTTTTTATATTAAATATAATTCCAGGTTTTAAAATTGCATCATAATCTCACAATTTTATAAAATGTTCAATTAAAATTGTGAATAAATATATTTTAATATATTTTGTTATATTATAGCTATGGTATAACGACAAATTTTATTACGATCAAAATTGAATATGTTATTAAGATTCAATATCGAGTTTATATATATATATATATATGCTCTTAATGTCGCGTCTTAACCTGTTTTAAATACCATAACACATGTAATAACGGTATATGTATGAAGAAATTTTATCACAGTAAAAATATAAGTATATGCGACACATTAATAATTTTGTTTTTCATGTATGAACAATATAATTACATATAGTTCAATTTAGCAAAATGATACGCAGAAACAAGACTGGGCACTTTCTAATATTTTTTTATGTTGAATATTTAATTCCGGTTTTTAAAATTGCATCATAATCTCACAGGTTTAAGAAATTTGCAATTAAAATGATAAAAATTTATTTTAATGTGTTTTATCATATTATTGCTATGATATAACATAATCGACAAATTTTATTACGTTTATTAAAATTAAATATGCTGTTAAGACTTTCAACATTAAGACAAAATTTATTGTGTGTATATGTATCAACTATATGATTAGATAAAATTTTCATGGGGTTAAATATAAATCTATTGAGGAAAGTTCTAAATTAAATCATTGAAAATGTATCAAATAATTTTTAAACATGTTTATTATCAAATTCAAAAATTTTTTAGATCGTTGAATACGAATTATAATATCAAATCTAACAAATTTAATATAAATGTGAAAATTTTAAATGTTTGCAAAAATTATGCAAAAATTTATGTATGCGTTTTAAATTTGTCAATTTTGACATTACATTCGTATTCAAGTATTCAACGACCTGAGAATCTTTAAATTTGAATAAATATATAAATTAAAATTATATTTTTGATGGATTTTCAATTATCTAATTCATAACTTTTCCATAATAGATTTTATGTATTATTATAAACTACAAATGTTATTAATTCTAATTAAGACAATTATTTCTTTTAAAGACTAAAAATCTTAACAAGGCTTAATTTTGATTGTAATAAAATGTTTTCAATACTTCATATATTGTTGTAATGTTAAAATAGCCTTTTTGTTTATTATAATTACATATTTTAAAATTGACGTGATAAAATAAAATGTAAAAATTAGTGTCAGAAAACTATGGAAAGTAACTATAACTTCGATCTTATGTTCGAAAAGAAATTTATATTATACATGTTTTTTGCTTAATTGCCTTATACATATTATTATATAATATATACGAGAAATTAAATATATAGGCTAAAAAATGTTATTCAAAGCGCATAATTATTTAATACGAAGAAAACTTGTATATTATCTTCATTGTTTCTTTAGCAAACTTTAATATCTTCGAAAATTATAATAGAGTACGTAGATACTAAAAGGTGTTACGGAAACATAAATTACTAAGATTACATTTAATTTACAGTAGGATATTGTAGAGAGATTTCTCGGATGAAAACTCGCGCAGTTATTCTTCAGCAGAATTCGGTCAAAACGTGACAAAAACAATATTTTTCTTGTGCCTATATAATTTACAATACAATAATTTATATTTTAGACGCGAATGCATTAAATCAAAATAGATTAATACATTTATTTATATACATATATATACATTTCAAGAGTTGCTATAAAATTTGAATTTCTTACGACACCTTACATGTGCATCGCACAATTTATAGTCGACATTAACAACGAATTACTCCATAAAGTTTTAATTGAAAACGCAGCAACATTTAATTGAACTTTTTCGCTGCGACTTTCTCGGGAGAGAGACGGAAGGGAATGACGAGGAATTCAATTAAAAAGTCCTATGTGCGTCTATATATGTTAATATATAGTTAATATATGTATATATAGGACTTTTTAATTGAATTCCTTATAGTTAACGGGGCTTTATCACGCATTTACGACACGCGTGCAGCCGTCTAATCTTATCTTTACTATATGAAATATAATCGGATATTAATAAATACAGATATCATATTAGGTCACAAATTAACAGAATATACGTGATAAAAATTATATTATTTTTTTTTTATATTATTTTAAACCACAGACAAGGTGTTCCTTATGGATTTCTGAAACAATGCCGCAAGCCAATTTTCACCAACACGTCAAGTTTCTAAAATAATTGAAATTTAATGTGCAAAAAATGGCTCTTTTGCGATATTTGAAAATTTTTTTGAAAAAGATTAATGTTATCTGGAAATTCTGATCATGAATTTATTTATTCATCCCCACAAAATTTTTTTTAGCTTGATATATTTAGAAGTCATATAATTATATTCATAATTTGTAATTTAGACAATTTAGAGCTATCGATATAAATAAATACCTTAACTTATCGTGATAGATTTAAATAAGTATAATTTATCGTGATAGATTTCATTAAATGTATATTTGTATATAGAGTGTCTTATATGTATTTTAATTGCTTATCTTGAATTTTTCGAAATAAATACGCATTTTGAAAAAAATGGTCCAGATATAAAAGTTGTATGATTTAAAGGGGAACAATTTTTTGGAAAAAATAATTTTGTTTTTTCAGGAGCATATCTATATGAGAAGTAGTTTCCAGCTTTAATCTTTCATTTACATGGCCAAAAATAAAATATTGAAATAAAAAATATTTTTTATAGGGGATTAACAATGTTCATATTTGATCAGACTTAAAAAAACGTTAAACTTCATGAAAAAAATTAGCTACTATAACTAAATTTTAGATTTTTGTTCCTATTATAACTTGAAAATTAGTTATTATACATATTTTAGCTATAATAACTAATATTTTTTAGTTGTTTAATGGAGAATTCTATAACTAAAAAAATATTAGCTAAAATTTAAGCATGATAATTAAATTTTAAACAAAAAATATGAAAAGTTAAAATTTAGCTATAGTGACTAATTTTTTTCTGCGTTATTTTACCAAAAAATCTCAAATATCAAGAAAGCCATTTTTGACACATTAAAACTTCAATTATTTAGAAAATCTGACGTGCTAGTAAAATTTGATTTGCGGCATCCAAAAATCTACACAGAGAGAATTTTCTTTTAGAACTTATCTTGAAATTCATAGTAATCGTAGGGCAACATGGTATTGGAAGAATTTTATAAGAGTTTCTCTGATTAATATTTACCACAGTAAAAAAATATTAATATTTATCGCAATAAGATATAAAAAACATGTTTTATTAATTTCGCTCATATGCACATACAGTAAATAAATTATAATAATATTAAATATATTAAAACTGATTATATATTAATATATTAAAATTAATAAAACATAAAAAGTAGGCCAAATAAACGAGCGTAAATAATTTAGATGTAAGGATAATTAAAAATTATTTATTCATAATATAAATATAGACGTTTCGATCTTACTAGGTCTTTATCAATACAATCAACCGCAAGTATAAAATTATAAAATATAATAAAGAAATTTAAACATAATCTCGCAAGCTATGTAAAGACGAAACTTCGATTATCATTCGATTTAATTACAATGGTTGAAACAATTATTCTTAGATGTCTTATGTTTAAGACCATCTCTCAAATAAATGCACGGAGTCCAAATTTGTCGTTGGACAGCGCGAACAGTCTGTTCCGGCATTTTCACGAGATGAGTCCCATTTATTCAAGCCCTTTTTTCCCACAAAATAGATATATTAAAAGGATTCCAATGAAGAACACTCCGAAAAATATAAATTAGCAATAACTTACATGTTGATGTTATGTGTTGGTTATTGCGACTCAGCAATATCAAGGAATAGTGTGTCATTATTATATCTTAGCCTGTTTATATAG